CGGCGGGAGCGCCTCAGCACTCCCAAGCGGCGCACTGCAGCAGTGCACCACCGGGCCGGCCCACACATCTTTTGTTCTGATCCTACTCCTGGTACCATCTTTTCTTCTTTTCCTACCTTCATTTGCCTTCTGTTCTGATTCTCTTCAACACTTTTTTTTAAATTTTTTTTTTTGTCCTTTTTGAGGCCGGCCGCACCGTGCTCAGCCAGTGAGCGCCGTGAGCGCACCGGTCATCCCTACATAGGATCTGCGCTCCTAGCACCGCATTCTCCCGAGTGCGCCACGGGCTCAGCCCTGATTCTCTTCGACACGTATTTTTTATTTTACTGTATCATTTAAAAATCTTTTGTGGGCCGGCCCGGTGGCGCACTGCGCTAGTGCGCTGCTTGGGAAGTGCGGTGGCGCTCCCGCCAAGGGTTCGGATCCCACATACAGACCGGTTCCCACTCACTGGCTGAGCGAGGCGTGGGGGCAACACCGAGGGTTGCGATCCCGTTGCCGGTCCCGGTCCGGTACGGGGGCGACACTGAGGGTTGCAATCCGTTGCTGGACACGGAAAAAGACAAAAAAAAAAAAAAAGAAGAATAAAAATCTTTTGTATTTATGTAAACAACCTGAAACTGTTTTTCTGAAGCTAGGTGATGAATAACCAAATAAGGGAATGAATTTCAATTGTCTCTAATCGTAGGGGGTTATTAGCTCCTATGCAAATGGGCCTAATGAGCACTGGCACTAGGATTTCTAATTATCCTTAATGAGCTTCCAAAATTCATGGGGCATAATAGGATGAGGCTGATTGTTACTCAAATGACCCAGTGAATCAAGCCTCCTGGTATCTACGCCCTTGTGTAGGCCCCTCCCATGTTGACTCTGGGCTTGGCCATGTGACTTGCTGTGGCCAGTTGGGTATTAGCAGCTATGGCACAGAGGCCTGATAAATGCTTGTGCTTTGGAGCTTACTCTCTTGGAAGTCTCATGAAATCACCATGTGAGGAAACCTAGCCTGGGCTGTCTTCACACGGAGAGCAAGACCTCACCATCCCCCCATCCCAGCTGAACCCAGCCTGTAGCCATTACTCCATGTAGCAGCACAAGTAAGCCCTGGAAAAATCAGCAGAAGAAGGCAGCTAACTCATAGAGTCGTGAGAAATAACAAATCATTACTGTCTTAAGCCCTAAATTCTGGGTGGCTTGTTATGCAGCAACACCTAACTGATACATGGGGTCACAGTGATATTTTGGGGCCTCTATTTCCACCTGATATTCTGGAGCTTCATGTAAATCCGCTGCAGTGAAGCAATCCAAAAATATGGTGGCTTAAACAAGATCATTTATTTTTTTTGTATGCAAGAGGTAAGAGGTAGGTTGTTTGGGGCTGGTGGGGCAACTCTGGCCACCCTCAAAATGGCTCTTCTATCTCTGGATCCAAGGTGAGTACTCCAGCTCTTGTTTTCTTCCTACTAGAAAGAAAAGAGAAGAGTGAGGTAGGAGTGCCCTATCCTTTTTAAGGGCAGAATCCAAGAGTGGCACCCAAAACTGGGGCACACGGCTTCACCTAGTTGCCAGGGAGACTCAGAAATGTAGATTCTAGCCAGGCAGCATGTGCCCAGCTGAAATATGGCAGATCTTTTTATTAATGAAAGAAGGAGAAACTACATATTTGAGAATAACTGGCAGTCAATGCCATGGTCTGTCTCCAGGGTGAGTATTCATATCAGTAAATATGAGTGTCCCACAGATTAGGTATTAAACAATAACAGGCATCAGGCTTTTATGTATGAATTGATTAGGGTGCTTTAGGCTGCAAGTAACAGAATACTCAACTAAAAGCTGCCTAAAGAGTTAGGAGTTTTTGGGGCCGGCCCGGCGGCACACTGGATAGTGCGCCGCTTGGGAAGCGCGGCAGCGCTCCCGCCCGAGGGTTCGGATCCCACATACAGACCGGGCAATCCCGTTGCCGGTCCCTGGTCCGGTACGGGGGCAACACTGAGGGTTGCGATCCGTTGCCGGACACGGAAAAAAAGATAAAAGAAAAAAAAAAAAAGAGTTAGGAGTTTTAATATCTTAAGAGGTTTAGGGGTAGACCATTTTTTAGTCAATATTCCTTTCTTCTTTCTGCCCTCCCATCTTCTGTGTCAAGCCTTTCTTCGTGGCTGAAAGATGGCCACAGTGGCTCCAACCATCATATCTACAGATAACAACAAAAATTAGTAACAGCTATTATGTATTGAGTGCTTACCATATGCCACATGTTAGACTCAAACATTTTGGGTGAATTCACTCCCTTGATCTCCACAGCAACCCTACGAGGAAGGTACAAATATTAGATTTATTTTGCAGATAGGAACATGAGGTGCAGAAAGGTCAAGTAACCTGCTTACCAAGACCCAGCTAATCAGGGGCAGAGAAGAGCTTTTAACCCCAGCTGTGTTGCCATAGGCAGCACCCCAGGAAAGGAAGGCTGGGCAGGGCTTGTCCGAAAACAGCTCTCTCTTTTTATTTTTTTTATCCTTCCCAGAAGCCCCCAGCAGACTCCCCCTTCTGTCTCATTGGCCAGAGCATGGTCACCCCCCAACCAACCACCAGCAGAGGGGGAGCGGGAATAAACACAATTATCTTTGACCAGTCATCATCCACCAGGGAGAGGTGGGTATGTTGCCCTCTCCCCTGAACAAAGCAGGCTTTTTTTCAGCAAGGAAGCAAGGGCAAATGTCTGCCGCAATGGTGGGACCCATGGTAAGCTGGGGTCCTCCAGCCCATTGGGATTAAAATAAGGTTGCTCAGACCCCATCCCTCACTCTCCACAAGACTTCTGCAATTTCTCAGGCTTGCGATTGTGTGGCTCTGGTTTCCTGCCTCTGCTGAGTTCTAGCAGCTGTTCCCTTTATTTCTGACCTGGAATTGACTCAAACGTAGGATGCAGCCTGTTTCTTCTCCCATGAAACCATGAATACCAGACTGCTCTGTAAGCAGAATTCCACCGAAAATTTGTGGGTGTCTAGAAGAGTTATAGAGCTGCTCAGTTCACGACTGCAAGTGGCACGGGGACATCCCTGGTCTTAAAAGCTGGTTCCTCACTCACACCAGGCGTTCCTCACTTGTCCTGTCCCCCCACCCCCATCTGCTGGCTCCTCCCTCCTTCCTTGCAGCCCTTGCCTGCCACTTTGATGCCCCAGGGGCTCCCAGTTCTCAGGTGTGACACTGAGCAATTGGGGCTCTCCCCAGCCCCTCCTCCTCCCAGACTGCTACCAGCCTGCCTTTGCCAGGCCAGACCCAATAAGGTGCCTCAGAACAAAAGGGCCTTTTATTTAACAAAGTAGGATCTACTCTCCTTACAAGGAATCTGTGGTTATAAATAACAACGATTGGACCCCCATCCCCCCGGACTTCTCTAGGGGAATTGGAAATTCAAATTTCAGAATAAGCTGGCAGTCAAGAGGGTCCTCCCCCTGTCAAAGCCCCTGAATCCTTGGGAAGTTCATGGAGAAGGACATGCTCCCTTTCTCAGAACCTGAGAAGGTAAAATTAAACTGCATTAGAAAGATACTGTTCTTGAGTTTTTTACCCTGCTTGCCCAGCAGGCTCTCTGCCTCTAAGGCTCAAAGCCTCAGTGATCCCTCTTAGGAACCTGTTGTGAGCAATTTTGAGAGCTGAAGGAGAAGTGGGAGGGGTCCCCCCACTCTACTTTTGCAGAAGCCACAGCTGGCCCCCATCCAGGCCTTCAGCCCTCCAGGAGGCAGAGTTCAGCCCTGGCCCCAACCCCCTCCCCCCAACTTCCAGGAATATGGGTGTTTGGAAGCACGAGGGCTTGCTCAGACAAGGAGGACCCCCTTGCCCCAGGCTAGGGGCTCAGCTTCAGGACCTCAGGCACAGGCTCCCCACAGGGGGATTTCCACAAGTCTCCTGCTCTGGTCCCTCTGACTGAGGGTTTGGCCAGGGCCAGGGCTCGAGCTGAGCTGTTCTGGTTGCCCAGGGGAGAGAGGAAGGAGCAGTGTGTGGGAGGAGAGGAGAAAGGGAGGGAGTGACCGGCCATGAGAACCTGGTGTGGGATGACCTCAGGGCTTTTAAGAGCAGGACAATGTCTCTTGCTACCTTCCCATGTGTGCCGTGTCTTTAGTAAGTCTGCCTTACACAACAGGCTTTTACTGGTGGTTGCCCTGGAAGCAGGGAGAAATGTTCTCCAGCCCTTGTCCCTCATTTGGGTCAATGCCAGGGCGGAAATAAAGGCAACAGCTGCAAGAAACCAGCAGAATCAGGACAGTGGCCATGAAAACAGGACCTTTTACTGGTGGTTGCCCTGGAAGCAGGGAGAAATGTTCTCCAGCCCTTGTCCCTCATTTGGGTCAATGCCAGGGTGGAAATAAAGGCAACAGCTGCAAGAAACCAGCAGAATCAGGACAGTGGCCATGAAAACAGGAGCCCTGAGAGCTGGCAGAAATCTGGGAGGCCTTCGTATGGTCACCTTGTCCCGGTCTCCAGGGGCGGAGCTCGCAGTTGGAGGCTGGGTTACGTCTTCAATCCACTTCCATGCTGGGATTCTCAAAATGCAGTTCTTAACCAGCAGCCTCAGCATCATCTGGAAACTTGTGAGCTATGCAAATTCTTGACCCCGCCTCAGACCTACTCAATCAAGCCTCTGGGGGTGGGGCCTGGAAATCGGTGTTTGTAACAAGCCCTCCGGTGAGTCTCCTGCAGCTGGAGCTTGAGAACCACTAGCCTATGGGAACAGAAGCCAATACTGCTCAGGCGGCGCAGCTGTGGCGTTCCCATTCCTCCCTGCCAATTATTCATTTAGGGGCAGGTGTAGGACCCCATTCTGGTCAATGAAACAGAAAGGGGTTCTGGAAAGTTCCCCCTCATACAACAAGAAAGACATCTGAGGAGAAGCTTTGCTCTGTCCTTTTCCCTTTGGACGCCGGCAGCAGGTTGTAAGTGGGGGCTCTGCAGCCGGGCTGGGGGGTGTGCATCCTAGGAAGAAAGCAAGGGGGAAAACAGCACAAAAGAACAACAGGAGCAGCAGCTTGCAGTTATTGAGGACTGTCCATATGCCAGGCGCTGTTCCAAGCACCTCGCTTAGCATATTTCACCCTCATAACAGTAGATTCTGTTGTTGCCACTTTATAGATGAGGAAACTGAGGCACGGACAGATTTAAATAACTTGTCCAAAGTCATACAGCTAATATATGGAGGCCAGGATTCAGGCCATGGGGTGTGGGCATCGCAGGCCACTCTAGAGATCTTGGCCTTTTCCTAAGCATGACAGGAAGCTGTCAAAAGGTGTCAAGCAAGGGGGTGGCAGTTCTGACTTACCTTGTAACAGTCACTGAAATGCTCTACTCATAAAATCTCCAGGTGGTTGGGGACAAGCCAGGCACACTTGCACGACCTGTTCTTCAGCCTCTTCTCTTTGTCTCCGAGACATCACTCCCTTGGCAAACCCAGAGTCTGGGTGACTGGGACCAGGGTGACTCAATGGCAGATGCTGATGGGGTGGGAGAGCCACAGATCCCTGGGGAAAAAACAAACTGCACCAAATCACTCTGGTATTAATTCAACAGAAGACTAGAAAGATGATCTTTGGAAAGTAGGTTTAGGTGATTTTTTAAACAATCTGAATGTTTACATTTTCTGTAATTGACCTTGCATCACTTGCTCTTTAGAAAGCAATTTTTACTATTTATCAGAAGAAAGAAGAGGAGACAGAACTCAGCCGTCCCCAGGGTGGTTGGCTCCTGCAGGAACTAGCTTTAGCTGAAATTGTCATCACGATAACAACGCTTGGAGTGCTGCCAGTAGTCACTGCTTTCCAAGTGCTTTATGTGACCCATATGACCTCGTTTCTCCCCACTAGCCTGGCCAAGGCCACGAAACTGAAGAGTGGCAGGCTGGGGTCCAGCCTCTCAACTATGTACTATGCAGCCTTTCTGGAAATTGCTTCTGATGCCCCTGCGGATGAAAGGCCTGTCATCCCCACTCCTTCCACAGTGTAAGTGGCCTTCATTATGTGCTGGAACCCCCCCCAAAAAACTTATTTTTCTCTTGGTGTCAGACTGCAGAACCCTCGGCCTGGACAGGTTCTGCATTTCTTGGCCTGGACAGGCTCTGCATTTCTTGGGACACCAGGCTCATAGCACCTGTGGGTAGAGAGAGATGGCTATTTGAAGGCTGTAGACACCTGAGCATTGTGGTTAAAAGTTTGTGGCTTGAGATCCCAGCTCTGCCACTTACCAGCTGTGAGACCTTTTGGCAGGTACCTAAACTTACTGAGTCTCAGTTTTTTTATCAGTAAAATAAAGATCTTGGCAGCTGTCAAGGTCAAATGGTATAATCTATATAAAGCTCTTAGCACAGTGCCTGGCTCATGCTAAGTGCTTATTAAATGATGGTTATAATTATTCAACATGCGTTTATTGAGCATATACTATGTGCCCGGCACTGTGCCCACAGCAGACCCACTGGAGATGCTGGAGCCCAACAATTATAGCTCCAGACTCCACCCACAGACATGAGAATTTAGCAGGAGCAAGAAGCCAGAGCTAAAAGTGCCCTGAGAACAACCTTGCCTAGAGTGTACAGAGAGTGTAGAGGGCTTCACATGACCACAGGGCATGGGATGGGGTTTGAGTGAAACTGACCTCTCTCATGGGACACCCCTGCTGACACCTGGTTTATAGACATCAGGCCAGCATGTATCCCTTCCTCCTGTCTGGCAGAGGCCTGACTCTATCAAGGTGTTGGAGGCAACATACCCAGGTCTGGGGGGCAGAGGGGTAAATTATGTCTGGTCTGAACTAAGTATGATTTTCTCATTCCCTGCGGTCAGCAACGAACTAGCTCAGAGTCACTTGGGAGTAAGCAGTCAAAGCTTATCTTTCAATCTGTGGTTTAGGGGTGCGTATGCGTGTCCCTATTCTGGCAAACAAGGAATAGTAGGTCCTATCTCATGGGGTTGTTGAAAGAATTAAATTCACGGTTACACATAAAGTACTTAGAACAGTAATTGGCATATAAGTAGAAGTGGTATGTTCAACTTCCAGGAATTTCCCTTAAAGGAAAAGATCATGTCTCTCTCCTTCCTTTTCTTCTTTCCTGCTGGATAAGATGTAGGCACAATGGCTGGAGCTGAAGCAGCCATTTTGGACCATGAGGCAAAGGAAGAATGTGGAAAATTTAGGAACAAGACAGAAAAAGTCTAGGTCTCTAATCACTATGGTATCACCATACCAGCCCAGATCATCCTCCTAGACATTTATTTATGTATTTATTTACTGCACTGATTTATATTGAGAAATGTTTTCAGCTTGATTTCAATCCCCCATATAAAGTCTGTCAAGGGAAATGCATGCTAGTTATGTATTTAACAAGTTACACAATATATAAAGATTATTATACCATAGATGAATTATGTAAAGTTAATGTTTGATTAAAATATTTACATCAATGCTGCTTTGTAGACTACTTAATAGATTTTTTTTTGATTCTTTAAAAAGATCAACAAAATTTGCAAACTTTTATCTAGACTGACCAAGAAAAAAGACAGAAGACAGAAATTACTAAAATCAGAAATAAAAGGGCTGGCCCGTGGCTCACTCAGGAGAGTGTGGTGCTGATAACACCGAGGCCACAGGTTTGGATCCCTATATAGGGATGGCCAGTTGGCTCACTGGGTGAGCGTGGTGCTGACAACACCAAGTCAAGGGTTAAAATCCCCTTACCTGTCATCTTTAAAAAAAAAAAAAAAGACTGAGATAAGATGGGCTTGAACCCTTCATTTTGTGTCTAATGGAAATTCCAGTTCCCTTCTGTCTTAGTATGTGTCTGTTGCTTATAACAATATTGAAACTGGATGATCTATAAAGAAAATGAAATTTATTGCTTTCGGTTTCAGAGGCTGGGAAGTTGAAAGTCCAGGGAACACATCTGGTGAGGATCTTGGGGGTGGCAACAGTGACCCAGGGGTCTCACGTGGCAGGAAATGGTGGAGCAGAGAGAGAGAGTCTCACTCCTCTCCTTTTTTTTTTTTTTTGTCTTTTGTCTTTTTTCCATGTCCGGCAACGGATCGCAACCCTCAGTGTTGCCCCCGTACCAGCCCGGGGACCGGCAACGGGATTGCAAACCTCGGTGTTGCTCCCGTGCCCCGCTCAGCCAGTGAGCGGGAACCGGTCCGTATATGGGATCCGAACCCTCGGACGGGAGTGCCACCGCGCTTCCCAAGCGGCGCACTATCCAGTGCGCCACTGGGCCGGCCCTTTTTTGTCCTTTTTGAGACTGGCCACACCGCGCTCAGCCAGTGAGCACACGGGCCATCCCTATATAGGATCCCAACCCGTAGCGGGAGCGCTGCTGCGCTCCCAGCACCTCACTCTTCTGAGTGTGCCACAGGCTCGGCCCACCAGTCATCTTTCAAAAAAGAAAAAAAGAAAGAAAGAAAGCAGGGGCATGGTAGGACAGTTGCTCCTTCCGCTATGCTGGAGTGGGCTCACCTGAGTGTGCCACAGGCTCGGCCCACCAGTCATCTTTCAAAAAAGAAAAAAAGAAAGAAAGCAGGGGCATGGTAGGACAGTTGCTCCTTCCGCTATGCTGGAGTGGGCTCAGGAGAGATGTCCTCCTCCTCCTCTGGTCTCCACTGGTGACTCTCCCTGCCTCACTGCAGTCTGGGGTCTGGCGGGCCGCCTGCACGGTCCTGGGGCTACTGCTGTGGTGCCGAGCCACTTTTGCATCAGCAGTGGCTGTGGTGGGCCAACGGCGAGGAAGTGGTGTTTTTGGCATGCTCCTGGCCTGTTTCCCGATGGGGGATGCTGCCCTCGGCTCCTGCCTAAGGACCCCAGGCATTGTCTGTTTCTTGCCTGTTTCCGGGCAGAGGGGGCGGCCCCTCGGCTCCTACCCTAGGACCCCAGGTGTGCTCATGTATTCCTAGACATTTAAATTAGAGAAATAAATTTCTATTTTATTTAGGTTCCTGTTATTTCAGGTATCCATCACTCACAGCTGAAATAAGTTCAAACTGCTACAGGAGTAAAACTTAGATTTGTATCCAAGCTTGCCAGACTCTGCAGCATTTCAACAGTTTTTCTCAAAGTGTAGATGGCAGACTACCTGAATCAGAGTCACGAGTGAAGAGCTTCTTTACAATGCAGATTCCAGGCTTCCACCTCAGCTCTGCTGAATTAGACTCTTCAGAGTGGGACCTGGGCAGTTCTCTTTTAAACAAGTTCCCCACCCAGAGGATCCCAGTGCACACTCAAGTTTGTGCTTCATTCTATTTCCTCTTGCAAGTCTTAAAACAATTAGGAGTCCATTCTGATCTCCTGGGTGGGACTAAATGCAGGTGGACCTCAGGGGATTTGGGGGAGGCAGGGAGGGCTTGTGGGCAGGGGTCAAGGGCCCAGGGCCTCAGGTAATCTGCATCTATCCACTGAAGCAGGTGCTGAGCAGCCCTCCCTGAGGAGGCAGCTCTGTCCCTGGGGGTCCTGGATGGTGTGGATGACCAGCAGCCTCCACAGCACTGCCGCCGCACACAACAATCTGGAATCATCTGAGGTCCCTGAGTGTCTATGGCACATTGTGATGCTCCTCTGGAGCCCAGGATGAGCCACAGGAGGCAAATCTCAGCTCAGGAGCTGGAATTTTGGTGCAAAGCTGTGCCCTCTTTTGCAATCCACTATTGTCCTTTTTGAGAAACAGCTCATGCCTTTGGTAAGCTGGTGAGTCCTGAGGGAGACTTAAAACCTGACACAAGGCACTTGGGGACCATACGACAAGAGCTGAGTGCTGTCTGACCTTGCCACAAAGTCAGGTGTGCCCAGCAACATCTGCCATCAAGGGAAGAGGGTGCACATGGGTGAGGACTGAACGCAGGTGCGTCCTGAAACCCAGGTGAGCTGCCGAGCAGGTGGCTCATTCCCCACCGTCCCTTCTCAGGCTTCCCAGCTGGATCTCCCTCCACCCACACCTTAGACACAGGTCCCTAGGACCAGCTGGACAAGGATTGGAGACTCGAGCCTGTGCCATGCAAAGAACTTGGTGGATGCTTGAGGCTGGGACTCATAAGCAGAAGTGCTAACAGGCACCCGGGGCCCCGTCTGAGGCTGGAGGTGTCGTGGAGCAGAGGGACGCAGTCCCCCTCCATGTTCGCCCTTTTCATAGGCAGGTATGGGAATGACCTTGGGCTGATGGAGTGGGGTGTCTGAGGCTGGAGGTGTCGTGGAGCAGAGGGACGCAGTCGCCCTCCATGTTCGCCCTTTTCATAGGCAGGTATGGGAATGACCTTGGGCTGATGGAGTGGGGATGAACTTTTGTGCTCCGATGCCAAGCAGTCTGAACTTAATGAGCATCAGCTGTGTCAGGGAGTGCCGGCCTGGAGCCCTGGAGCCTCTCTGCCCACCTCACCTGGGCCCATGGCTCAGGCACAGCCCCTCC